GGCACCAAGGGAGGCGCTGGGGGGGGCACCAAGGGAGGCGCTGGGGGGGGCACCAAGGGAGGTTGTGGTGAGAGAAGCACCAAAGAAGCTGAGACTCATAGGCAAGTCTCCTGTTAGGGCTCCAAAGACCCCTCAATGCAACCTTTGCTTCTCTTTGAGCCCAGGTCACCACCCTGGATCTGCTCTAGGAACAATGGTACAGGACGGGGCACACTAATGCACACAGATGCACATTTGTGAATGGAGCTGTGTGTCTAATAAAGTCTTCTGAAATTTGGAATTGCTGCCCATCGGTGATTTACTGTTAAGTACTTCTCCCTGGGATCTCGCATTTCTAAAAATACTATTTGCTTTTTATTTAGCACTGAACCTTCTGATGTTCCAGAATATAAAAATAGTGTCTTATTATTTTAAAAGCTTAGGAGAGAAACTAGCCATATTATTAGAAAAAGAAGATATATGCACCTATAGTCTGTTCAAATATCAAGAGGTGTGACTTTTCAAATTCACATTTCAATCTTTATTTACATAAGACTTTTGTAACAGTGGGTGTAAATATTAAATCACCCAAGCTTGGGTGAAATTTTATTGAGAATAACTACAGATAAAGGGAAACTGATTTTTTAAAGTCGGTTTCTGAAATTTAGATGAAAAGAATATTGAGCACCAAGGAAAAAATGATATATTTACATATCAATATAGGTTCTCTGCTCACAGATTCATTTCCTATGAAACAGAACAGAGGCAAGCTTGGGGAGTTACAAAGGAAGGAAAAATCCTAATCAAATAGAAACTGTTGTTCAAACAAAATATTAGCTAAAATGATCCAATCAGTTGCTTGAGCCAAATTTTTTTCTTTAAGCCATTCATGACAGAACACAACGTCTCGGAGTATTAAGAATCCATATTACGTTCCAAGTGTTTGCCCAGCAGATGGGGGGATTTGAAAGATACAGTCCATGGAAATGGGATGAGAACAAGGAAGGTTACCAGTGAGTCACCAGCACTAACACAATTTAGTCATAATGGGGCCACATTTCTCAGGGTAAACATTATGTATTTGTATTCTAGGGCATAAGTGGCTGTTACAGGAATCAACCTAAAGTATAGTAAGTTCCAATTGCTAGATCTTTGACTTCACCGTTGTTCAGGATTACACCATGGAATGCAGCATAACATGCAGAAATTCTCCTGAAGAGTACAAAAAGCACACCTCCGTGGAATGAGTCAGACACTAGGCTTTGTTTTTGTATTTCTCCAATGACTTCAGAGAATCAGAGGTTCACGTGGGCAATAACTGACACAGCATTAGGTCTTCATTTAAAACAAAATCATTGCCTCTCATTGTAAAACACAGTAGCCTGCGATATGCCCATTCAAAAACTTAGGATGGATCAACTCAAACTTTTGCTGATCAAAAGCAGAGCAATACGTTTCTCTAACCTCTTTAGAGGGCAACCTAAGATATACTCACATATACAGAGATACACACACATACTTGGTTTCTAAACACACACACACACACACACACACACGCACACACACACACACACACACACTCCTGGTTTCTATGTGGCAATGAAACATAATTCTATTTTATTGCAATATTAAGATTCTAAATCTAAAATAAAAAAACAAGAATTACAGAGGTTATCAAAGACATTAACTTGTTCTTAGAGTAAGTGCACAATTAATAACAAAGGTATTATTATGCCAGTGTATACTTTACGATATTCTGCCCAATATTCTCAGGAAACTGAGAATCTGACTCTGGTCATCTTAGACCTCCTTTACTTTGAATTAATGTTGTGAACACTGCATTTCTCCTTCTGAAATCTGTGGTTTCTGTGAAGTTTATGGGAACACCAAAGAAAGCTTAACCAGGGAAAGGAGAAAACAATGTCCATTCCTATTCGGATAATTAACTGAGGTCAGGGCTTCTCTCCAAGATGTCCTCAAATGATCCCTATTAACCGTATCCGGTAGCCTGTTCCCTCCCCTGAACGCTGTGTTAAGAAAAAATTTTAAGTGTATTTTCATTTCTATTTTCAATCTGAAGCTGGAAACAAATCATTTTGCACCCCAGCACAATGCCAAGAAAAGCTTAAATCAATCTGCATCTTTTTATTTACATCCCTCATTCCTTAGAAATGTAATTGCCGTTTTTATTAACTTTGTTTTATGGATCTAATATTTAAGAGCAAGTCTGTCTTTTATGTCACAGCAAGAAGGTGAATGCACTTACAGACTCCCCCGCAATACATCTCAGGCAAGGCTGGGCTGAGCTCCTTCCACCGTTCTGAGGAATCTATTTAACAAATCACAGCCGCAGATGCATCAGGACAGTCATTATTTACACTTTTTATTAAAATATTTAAATGGGTCACAGCTGGTTTGGTGGGAATGGGAACCTACCCCCACACGTGGCAGCCCCCCGCCACTCCAAGACATCAGGGCGCTGAGCTTCGCGGGGGTGCAGCCCCATTCCGGCCCGGCGGCTTCTACTCTCCTGCATGCCCGTTTCTGAAAGACATGAAACTTCACTGGAGACGGCTCCGGGAGCACAGGACACTAATTGGATTTGCTTTCTGCAAACTTCAGCTGCAAACACAGACCCCTGTAGAGCCGAGTGAGTTTATAGGACGTTTGAGGGGTGACTTTAAACACCGTCTTTCAGGAACACGTTCCATCAATTATATTTAACCTCATTATTTCTAGCACTATTTGGGGTTTACTTGGCTTTATGGATTTAAAATAGACATTTGAAACAATTTTGGCCAAAATTCTTATAATAAACTATTGTGACTGGTTTACTGATATTGAAAATATACAAAATCTATCAATTTTGTTCAGGAAACTAGTTACATGCTTCAACACATTTTGCCTAGTTTCGAGTTCCATACTATCTTAATACAATGTAAATAATTCACATGTGAATAATTCTTTGTCTTACTGACACTGAAGAGCAAATTAACTTTACTTATTTTCAGGTTGCACACATGCTCCATAACTGATAACCTCTGGGAAAGTTAGCATTTGGTTTTTGCTTCCCCATGAACTAAAAAAGATAAATTACAAAAGCAATCCTCTAACACTAAAGAAAAAAAAAATTATTCACTCTCAAAATCCCAAGACTTTGTGCATTTTGAAGGGTAACAATGTTTTCAGTGACACAAAGTTGAGAAGCTGGAAGACCTTTGCAAAGGGTCGTAAAGTCCATCCCTTGCTCCCTGGGCCAGCCTGTGGGCCCTGCTGCTGGACAGCTCCCGCCAGGTCAGTAAACGGCCCTTACACTGCGGCTCCCTCCGCCTCTCTGGTCTCCTGCAAACCATCGACATGGTTTCTACGAAATTTGTTCCTTATCTGTACTATTACTTATTTGTGTTTTCTAAATTGACTTTTTTTTTAATGGATTTATTCAATATAGAAGCCTTATATCATAGGTTAGAGTGCTAGTTTTACTGTTGTCTAATATGCCTTAAAGATTACATGGAAATTTTAGGATTAAACTGGAAAATGCTGAGCTCCGAGTCCCTCAGCCCACTGAGAAGAATTTCTTGGGTGAGTGCTTGACCTCTGGATGGCTGAAGACAAGGCCGGCTACGCAGTCACTGACTTCCTTATGGTTCCCCAAATGAAACTATAAATTCTACATCAAACCACACCCTGGGCATAACATGAAGCCAGAGAATGTGAAATATGAAGAAAAAGGTAAGAGAAAAGCCACCAAGTCCTGGTGTAGGTCCCTCGTGCCCCTAGCTCACACCTGTCTTCATGAGCTCCAGTGGGCCAGGGCAGAGGGAAAGACCGCAAGACAGAGAGGAGCACAGCAGAAGGGTGAGGAAGTCCATACGAACATGAAGACACTATGACGTGCCTGACTGCCTCTGTCAGGGAAGGGACTTCAAGGCCCACACATGCAGTGTAAGAGGACAGACACCATTTACAGAGGCATTCCAGGGAAGAAAACAGACAAAAGAGGAAGGGAGAAGCACCCTTCGGCAACTGAGTGGTGAAGCTAAAAGAGAAAGAGGGAAAGTGGAGGGTCCTAGGAGTAAAGAGGAGTATCATTAGATTCACCCTGGCCTGTCCTCACCAAAGCCGAGCAGCCAGCCAACAGCTGCCACGGCAGCCCCTGCACTTGGCCAAACCAACCGAAGAGGCTGCCACTAGACGCAATCTTTTAAACACTCGGTACCATAAAAACGTCCTCCTGAAAACTACCACGAGTCAAAAGAAAATTGGAATTTATACTCCCAAAAACATAATTAAATATACCACACTGAATTAGAAACGTAGAATTAAAAACAGAAAAGGACAAAAATGGAGAAAGCAGGGGAGAGGTGAGCAGACTCAGGAAAGTTATGGAAGGAAAACAAAATTACCTCAGAAATGAGGAATCAATTACAGAACACCCAAGGAGAATCAATTCAAATGAAAACTAACAAAGGGCACTGAGGACAGCCAGGACCACAACCAAGAGGAGGCCACGACACTGAGAAAGACGGGAAAGGGGAGGAAAGCAAGTGGTGGGGAGAGAAGACAAAGGAGTGATGTCCATAAATCTGACTTCGTAAAAGAGGAAAACAAAACAGTAAAGCAAACATGTAACTCTGCAAGAAAATTTCCAGAATAGAGAAAGGCCCAAATCTTCAAAGGAAAGGGCTCACTGGGTACCCAGGAAAAATAACCCAGAAGGATCAACTCTGAGACGCATCCTAATGAAACTATGGGATTTCAAAGGTAAGGACAAAGTCCTCAAGGCCCATGGCACCAATCAATAAATACGCAAAGGAATTGGACTAACAGACATTCAAACCAACACACAAGCAAGGCAACGATGGAGCAACATTATAAATTCAATGAAAGTATGAACCAAGAATTTTAAATCCAGCAAGCCATCATTCAATTACCAAGACTACAGAAGAGCAGTTTTTAACATTCATGAATTTGGAGAATATCACACCCAGTCGGCCCTTCTTGAGGATTCTATGTGAGGGTAAACTTTATCTGCCTATTGACGAGTGGGAAAATTTCAGCAAAAGGATTTATGAGACACATTAAAAATATTTAGATGTACATATTAGACCAAAATAAAGGTGCAATTAGGCTGGAAGACTGATGTACAAATATTACATACTGTGACAAAACAGAAATAATTCAACTAAATGTGAGATGAAGGAAGAGGTAAAGAGCAAAAACTCTGATTAATGTATAGGTCATTACTGTGTGAGCAACCGGTGTGCATTAAAGAATACAAGGAAAAAAACCAAATCAGACAATAAAGAGTTTAACAAAACGGGTTACTAAGGACATAAAAAAAGGTTTAAATACATAGGTAATAAATAGAAAATACAAATCTATCTAAATCCAAAATCAAAAATATAAAAGCAAAGAATACAGATCTCCTAAAGGAATGGCAAATACAACAAAATATGCATATCATAAAATATTTTGATAGAGTTACAAGCAAATAAATCAGTCATGTCAATAAATATTAATGGACTTAATTTACTTATTTAAAGAAAAAGGTTTTTAATTGGGTTCACAGAACAAGACCCAACTGTATCCTGTACACAAGAGACATACCTAAAATAAAGTCATTCAGAAAGGCCAAAAAGCAAAAGGCTGGAAAAGGTAAATGAAACAAAAAGAGAGAAGTAGACCAAGTAGAATTCACATCACAAACGGTTAAACACAAGAGGATATATTTAATATTAAAAGCCACAGTCTGCAACGAAGACATAATGCTCATGAACATCTACACACCAAGTAATACAACCACCACCTTGGGGCACCGGGGTGGCTCAGTCAGTTAAGCATCTGCCTTTGGCTCAGGTCATGATCTCAGTGTCCTGAGATGGAGCCCCACGTCGGGCTCTCTGCTCAACGAGAAGTCAGCTTCTCCCTCTCACTCTCTCTCTGTGCTTCCCCCCCCACCTCTCTCAAATAAATAAAATCTTTAAAAGAAAAATAACCACCCCCTTTACGAAACAAAAGTGACAGGATATGCAAGGAGATGCACATAGGCACGTACTAAAGATGGGAGATCTAGGGCGCCTGGGTTGCTCAGATGGTTAAGCGTCTGCCTTCGGCTCAGGTCATGATCCCAGGGTCCTGGGATCGAGTCCCGCATCGGGCTCCCTGCTCCTTGGGAGCCTGCTTCTCCCTCTGCCTCTCTCTCTCTCTCTCTCTCTCTCTGTCTCTCATGAATAAATAAAAATCTTTAAAAAAATAAAAAATAAAAAAAATTAAAATGGGAGATCTAATACACCATCTCCATACAAGGCAGAGCAAGTACACAAGAAATAAATAGAGACAGATCTAAGCAACACCATCAACCAAGGTAGAGCTCACAGATATACAGTGAAGTCCATTCCCTGATAATAGAGAATACACATTTTCCTAAAGAGTCTATCACACAGGGGCGCCTGGGTGGCTCAGTCAGTTAGGCGTCTGACTTCGGCTCAGGTCATGATCCCAGGGTCCTGGGATCAAGCCCTGCTCAGGTTCCCTGCTCAGCAGGGAGACTGCTTCTCCCTCTGCCTCTACCCCTCCCCCAGCTTCTTTTCTCTCTCTTGCCTTGCTTTCAAATAAATAAAATCTTTAAGGAAAAAAAAGAATCTATTGCACATCCCTACAATGGTCATATATTAGGTCACAAAGAAAACATCAACCATTTCCATAATGTAGAAATACTGCAAACAATACTTTCTGATCACAATGTAATAAAAGTATACATTATCAACAAAAACAAAAACAAAAAAGTCATTTCCACTTGGATATTTAAAAAACCTATATTGACTTTTAGTGAAAGAGTAAATACAAACTAAAAGTATAGAATTTGGAGGGCGGAGCAAGATGGAGGAGGAGCGGGAGACCTGGATTTCGTCTGGTCTCAGGAAGTCAGCTGAATAGGGATCAAACCATTCTGAACACCTACGAACTCAACAGGAGATCGAAGAGGAGAGTAGCAACAACTCTCTGAACAGAGAAGCGACCACTTTCTGGAAGGTAGGACGTGCGGAGAAGTGAATCCGAGGCGATATTCGGGAGGATAGACGGCGGGGGAGGGGCCTCCGCCGGCCGCTTCTGGCAAGTGCTAGAGCCGCGGAGCACAAAATCGGACCTTTTAGAAGCCGGCTCCGCGGAGGGACGTCGCTCCAGTGGCTAAGCGGGGGGTGGAACCCTCGCGGGACAGTGTGGTCTCAGGACCCTTGGGGTCACAGAAAGACCGGGGGTGCCTGAGTGCGGCAGAGCCCCCAGGTATCAGAGCGGGGAAGCCGGCTGCAGAGACGGAGCCGAGGCGCGGGCTCTCAGCTCGGGGTGGCCATAAACTGTGATCCGCGGCCCAGTCGGGCCACTGCTCCTCCAGCAGGGACCCAACAGGCGGCAGAGCCGGGGAGACTCTCCTCCCTCCCCCGGGAGGAGCGGCGCGGGAACGCACCGCAGGGATCTGCTGGGTTTGGAGACTCCACACGGGGTCGGGTGCCAGAGATACAAACGCTCGGTCACAGGCCGGG